GAGAAAGTGGGAGACGTACGACACGCAGTACCTCTTCCAGCGCATGGAGTCCATCTCGCCATCTAGCGTGCGCGGGTCCTCCAGCCAGTGGCCTGTGTAGCTTCTCGGCGCCCTCTCCAGTACCCACTTACGCTGCAGCGCCTCACGTCGTTCAGGACCCCAGTCCTTGGTCATAGGCTGCGGCCCCAAGTTTGGCGAGGGAGGAGTGGCGTCTCGCTCCCATGGCGGCAGCAGACTCTGGCGTAGCCGATGCGCCGCGAGCTGCGCCGCGCTGCGGGAGCCGCCCTTCACCTGGTAGCCCTGCACGCCGCTGAGGAGGTATTCCACGCTGCCGTCGACCACTGTGACGACCTTGGAGCGCCTGGCCCGCGGAGCTCCCGAGGCCGATGATGCCGTCGCAGATGGAGTCGACGCGGGCGGCCCCGCGGCACGGCGCCCGCGACCTCGCCGAAGACCGCGGCGAGCCAGACGCTTCGCAGCGAGACCCCCACCGTTCCAAGGAGAGAGCTCCAACCCTAGGGAGGCGCCTGGGCTCAGTGGGGCCTGGGAGGCCTCAGACCTTGGCAGGGGAGCCCCCTGGGGGCCCAGCCACTCCCGCGTCCAAGGGAGGCCTTGCTGAAGGCTGTGCCCCCCCCCCCCTGCGGCGGAGCTGCTTGCGCCTGACCCAGGAGGGTCCCCAGAACCACCAGGAACCTGGCCAGGCGCGCCAGGTGTGGGGGGGGGGGCCCGCCCTTGCCTTGGGTTGGAGCTGCCGCTGCCCCTCCTCCTTTGCCCCGGGCCGCCGCCACCTCCGCGCCGTGCACGTCGGGCGCGGCGGAGCGGGGGCGCTTGGACTTGAGGCGATCGTGCATATCCTTAAGGTCCGCGCGCATAAACTTAATACATTCGGCAACAGGGCCGACGTGCTTCTAAACCTCTAACTATGACTGGCCGACAAAAAAGTGACCTGCTGCTCAAACTGCGTCTTCTCCTCCTCGGAGATGTCAAGCCCCTCGAGGTCGAACATCGCCCCCGCCTGGACCTCCATGACCTCCACCTCCCCGGAAAGCAGCTTGGCGAGGTCCAGGGCCGCCCCCTGCTTGGCCGCGGGCGGCTGTGCCGCCGCGGCCTGGCCCGCTGGGGCCACCTTGGCGTAGGCCGCCTCGGCCTCGGCGTCGGCCTCGGCGACCTCGAGAATGGCCTCCTCCAGCTCGCTCCGCTTGCACTCCAGCCAGTCCTCCGCATCCTTGACCGCCTGGTGGGAGCGCTTGAGGGGCGCCTCGGCGCGCCGCGCCCGCGCCCGCGCCTGGTTGAGCGCCACGTCGGGGTGTTCATCGGGCGGTTGGCGTACTGCTGCTTCTGGCCTCCAGACTGCTCATCCCTGTTTCCATTGCCACCCATGCGCGATGCCGAAGGACTGAGAGCCTGCCCGGCAGGAGCAACGAAGAAAGCGTCCACGACTGCACGAGGGCTCGCCGTGGAGAAGGTGGCCAAAACGCCTGCTGTGGGGCAGCTCGCCTCGAGCCAGCCCCTGGGCTGCAGGCAAGTACGAAGCCGCAGGGCCACGGTTTCGTACTTGAGCCAAAATGGCTACGGGGAGGAGAAGGAGGAGGAGGAGGAGGAGGAGGAGGAGGAGGAGGAGGGCGAGGAGGAGGAGGAGGAGGAGGAAAAGGCCGACCTGGCGAGTCGACCTCGTGGGTCTTTCCCTTTTCCTTAACGTGCCCAGCTTCCTGAACAGGGGCCTGCTGTGCCAACCCGACGCGGGCTCGGCCCGCTGCCTCGGGCCGAGCGTCCTGGCCCGACTGAGGCCTGCGCGGCCCGTGGCGGCGACGCCTTCCCCCGGTCCTGGGCTCAGGTCGGGCCTGTCCCCCTACAGGCGGCTTTTGGACGAAAAACAGAACGTGACCCAAAAATGCCCCCCAAGCACTCCAAATATTACCCCAGTGCGACCCTATCTAGAAGTTGGAGCCCCTAGGAAAGCAGCAGTCGTTGCTATGTTATGCTATGCTATGCTATGCTATGGTATGCCATGCTATGCTGCGCTATGTTATGGTATGATATGATATGTTATGATACGATATGATATGATATGATATGATATGCTTATGCTAGAGCCCCTCGCTCGCAGCCTGGTCGCGTGCGCGCCCGACGTCCCTGCCGCGCTGATGGGCGGCCCTCCATCTTCAGACAAGCGCGTTCCACGACTCGCAAAGTGACGAATCGCAAATGGCCTGGATCTGCCTCGGGGGAGTCACGATACTGCTGATCCAGCGCAAACATGTGCTTATCGGACGTTTGCGAGCAGACAGCTTGCGAGTAGTAGAACGCGCTCGGTGAATATTATGTCTCTCCTCCTCTTGTTGCTCGGCATCGAACTGCTCAGCGTCCTCGCGGTGACAATGACGGCGGCAGCAGAGAAGCAAGAGAGAGAAAGAGAGGGAGAGAGAGGGAGAGAGAGAGAGAGAGACAACAAAAGAAAACAGCGCGCCCGCCCAGAGAGTTCCAGGTAGCGCAGGGAAGGCTCCTTCTCATCATGCTACCCCTGCTCCTCGAAGTCGTCCTCCGCCTCCATTCCTTTTCCTTGTAAACAACTTCTCCCTGTCGCACCCCGAGGTCAGTCGGAAGGGCGGGCCGGGTGTTTCGCCTGAGGCCCCCTTGCCGTTTATGATCCTGAAGCTTAACAAGTGGCAACGGCTTCACAAATGGAGGGCAGGCCGATTTCAAAATCTCGCTCTCGCCAGAGCGCCGTGCACAATCGTCTTAACAGCTTGTGGGAGCTTCGCGGATCGAGGGCGGGCCAGTTTCAATATGTAGCTCTCACCTTGGCGCCGCGCACATTCGTTTCAGACATGTGCAAGGTTTTCACGGATTGAAGGCGGCTCCTTTTCAAAATGTGTCTCTCGCCTTAGCGCCGCGCACACACGTCTTAAACATCTGCAAGAATTTCACGGGCTCCCATGGCCAAGGTACCAGAAATTGTGTTTTGGAACGACTCAGGATTGCCAGGGCGCAACAATTACGTTGATTCGCGGAGTTGAAGTCCAAGGAAGTGTGTTCTGACACGATTCAAAATCGTCAAGACGCAACAATAAAATTGATTCGTGGTTTTGGAGTCCTGAGATTTGTGTTTGGGCAGGCTCCTGGATCTTCACACGGCTGTCTCCTAACGTGTCACTTCCATCAGTGGAACTAAACCCTTGTAGGAGCCTATCAAGAGGGAGCTTGGAGTGAGGGCTGATTCCAACATCGTTGATCAGTTGGTTTTACACTGGTCCTCGTCCTCCTCCTCCTCCTCCTCCTCCTCCTCCTCCTCCTCCTCCTCCTCCTCCTCCTCCTCCTCCTCCGCTTCCGCCTCGTCTTCGCGAGCGCCGTGGCCGCTTATTCTCTCCCCGGGTCGCGGCTTTCCCCGCCTTTAGCGGGGCGCGCTCGATAGAAGCAGACCAGAGCCGCAGCGGGACGGCGCGACCCGTTCCCCCCCCCCCGAGACAGGGGCTGGAAAACCCCAAAGGGGGGGCCGGCGGAAGGAAGCAACAAGGAAAGGGAGGGGGAGAGGGGAGGAAGAGGGAAGACGAAGAGAAAGAGGGTTTTCGACATCAGCCGTCGCGCAACCCACAAGCACACACGACGAAGCTTCCACTCCGTGGCACGAAAGCAGCTCGAGTCGGACGGTCACCGCGCGGCCGGGACATCTCCGAATCCGAACAGAACCGGGTACCCGGCGGCGCCCAGACGGGAGCCGAGAAGCACAGGCAAAGACAGTATATTGAGGGATGAAAAAACGGCCCTACCCTGGATTACAAGTGCGTGGTCTGTAAACCTCCTGGGAGCCCCCAAAGCCTAGAGCCGCCAGGACGCGGCACATCACGCAGGGTTTACACTGTCAGCCCACAGGAGTTTCAGAGCACAGCGCCTCGTAAACCAGGGTAGGGGCGTTTTTTCTGTCCTTGAGTATACCCCGTCGCGGGCTCGAAGGCTGCGGGTCGTGAGGCTGACCACTGGCCAGATCAGGACCGGGAGAGGACGGGGGGCAAAGAGCACGGACCAAAGAGCACGGCCTGTCGCCACAGGCTCGGCTTGGGGCTCCAGCGCGGGGCACGGCGCGGCCAGCCCGCCCACTGGTAGCACGTGCGAAGGGCTGTCAGAGGGGCGCAGCCTCGGCAGGCGCCACGCGATGAAGTGCAGAAGGCAACGAGCGCAACTGGAGATGCTCTCGTCCAGCGCTCCCGCCAGGCTTGTGCGGAGTGCGGGATGCTCTCGTCTCACGCTCCAGCTGCCAACAAGAGGGGCTCTCGAACTCCCCTGCCGCAACACGCCAGCAAGCCTAGAGCAGGGTGAGAACCAACACGCGAAACAAAAACACACCACCAGCAGAGAAAACTCTCTACAGTGACCCCCGACCGCTTGGGATCTTTAGTTCTTACAGTGTGGGGGCACCACTACACGTCCCAGACAAATCACGAGGGCGGCCGTCACTGGAGTAACCCTAACACCTCGTGCGCACGATCAGCAGAGCATTGGTGGAGCAGGCTGAAGTTAAGCAGCGGCGGCGCCGAAGGGCCAGGGCCTTCGGGTCAATCACAGGGCTCATTACAAGCTCCTGGAGGCGACAGGTCCAAACGGGTCGGACCCATGTGCTGCGAACTCTTCACGCCTGTGGAAACTGCCAGGCAAGTTCCACACTGCCAAACAAACTGAAACTCGCACCCAACTGCGAGACGAACCTGACGCCTTGGTGTTCTCCTGCTTATGATCCCTGGCAGCAAGAGTGCCAGGGTCTGAAGCCGACGAGACGGAAGACATGCTGGTTTCCGTCCTGGGCTTGCGCCGAGCAGCACGCATGTCCTTGCGAGCGGCTCGAGCTTGCCATCCTTCTTCGTGGTCTTCTCCATCTCGGGCATGCCCGCAGGTGCCGCAAACATGGATGTGAGGAACGCCCCCGCAGGAGCTCACTGCAGAAGCTCATTGAGCACAAATGGCTTCAGTCCGACAGACTTGAGCCGAAATGGCAACGGACTGGAAACGGAGGGGGCGGAGGAGGAGGAGGGAGAGGAGCAGGTGGAGGCGAACTGGAAGATACAGGCAGGAGCTGCAGAAGGCTGGCAGGTCACAAGAAGGCGCCTAACAGCCCTCCCGCGAGGTCGCCCAGCATCATGCCCCCCATCACTGCCATGCCTATGCCCAGCATGTCGGCCAGCGGGCCCTCCATCCTCCGCGGCCGCGGCGGGAATTTTCGCCGAAAGGTGCGGCCAATCGTCCGATTGCTGTTCGGGATGATGTCTTCGAGAAGGAAAGGCCTGCTGAAGTCGAAAGCCTGCGACGAGGTCAGCTGAGCGCGCTGCGAAAAGCCCCGTCTGGCCATTGTGTTGTTCAGCTGCTGGATGAGGCTGCTGTACGGTAGCCCCGGATTCGAACGCAGCACGTCGCAGAAGGCAGTCGTCATAGCTCCACCAGCAGCCCCGTATGCAGTGGCGGCGTCGGCAGACGTGTCGTCGTCGGCGCAGCCACTGAACATCTGGACGTCTCCTAGGGTGTGGTATGGGTTCGTATCCTCCTTCCAGCCGCGCCCCATCCAGGAGTAGGGCAGGTCCAGCCCAGTACCACTGTGACAGCAGTCCATGACGGCCGTGAGGCGAACACCCTCTGGCAGGCGCCTGACTGTCAATTCCCCTAGCAGGTCGTCGGTCATCATACCAGCGGATTTGAAATCGACAGGCAAGATCGTCTCGTTCATCCCATCCTCCTCATAGCCATGCGGATCCTCCTGCTGTGCGCCGTGACCTGAAAAATGGAAGAAGAGCACGTCCCCCGGCTGAACACCCTCGACGAGCCAGCGTAGGGCAGCCTCGATGTTCGCGCGTGTGGGCATCGAGGGTCCTCGCTGGTCGTCCGTGAGTGTCCTCATGCAGTTCCTAGGCCAGCCCATCTGCTCCAGCAGCGACTGCATACTTCTGACGTCGTTGATGCACCCTCGCAACTGGGCCTGTCGGAGAGCCCAGGATCGAAAGGATGCGTCGGATCGGATGCATCGGATCGGCAGCAGCCCGCAGGCTGGGGAGGCCTCCGTCGAGAAATCGGAATCCAGGCAAGAAGCCAAAGTCGAAATCGAGTCGGAATCGGAAGCCATCGAAATCAACTCGAATCAAAATCGAAATGGACTCTGGCCTGGGTGCCGAAGTAGTTGATGCCGATGAGCACCGCGCGCTTTCGGCCCGTCAGCCTCGGAGCGCCGCGGCTGGGCGGTGCGGCGGCCGCTCCTAAAAGGGCACAGGGGCACACAGCAGATGTACGCACAGCCAAAGGGGCGCACCCTACGCTTCAGTACGGCAGGGGCTGTCGTCTTCCCCCCCCCCCGTTCCCCCGATGTTCTCACCCTGCATCCGAAAATATACGCTTCCTCGTACCTGTGTCTCTGTTTTCGGCTACCCGCAAGAGTGACCCTGGGCAAAAATAACCTTTAGTGCGCGGCTTTCTGTTGGGGGGCGGAAAGATACGGATACGTGTTGTCCCCGGACCTCTCTTGGGGTGCGTTCTGACCAGAATTTCGAGGCGAATCCAGCGGTGACAACGAGGATTCCCCAGGAGGACCAGGAAAGGCCGAAAACGACGGGGGACAACACGTATCCGTATGTTTTTCTCCCCCGATTCTGGGGGCAAGACGCTATACCAGCGCATCGCGCCCGGCGATCGGGGGGCCCCACTGTGCCCGCACCAGAGGTCACTCCGGCGAAGGGTCACTCCGAGAAGGAGGCGGAGGAGGAGGAGGAGGAGGAGGAGGACGAGGAGGAGGAGGAGCCGCACCCACTTGCGCGGCGGGCCGTCTGTCTCGGCGCGCCGCCCGAGCGCCCGAGCGGCGCGGCGGCCCCCCGCCTCGCCGCCACGGGCGCGGCACGCCCTCGCGGCACGGCGCCGACCGCCGCCGCCGCGCGGGCGGGCACGGGCCTACGGCCTCAGCCGCCAGCCCACCTCGGCGCAGGCGCGGCACGGCGCAGGCCGCCTCCGCGCCGCGCCAGGGGCCGCTCGCCGCCCAGCGCCCTCCCGCTGCCGCCCAGCAGGCCGAACGGCCGCAGCAGTGCCCAGGCTGGGCGGCGAGCCGCCCACGAACTTCATGCCGCCGTCGGCACCTCGTCCGCTGGGGCCTCCGTTAGGCGCGCCTCCAGCTGGACGGGCTCGCCGATGAAGTGGCCCTTGATCGGGTGCTTCCCCGCCTTCATCCTGTTGAGCCTCGTGCCCGCAGTGGCGTTGGCGATCTTGCCCAATCGCCCTCCGCTGCCCTTGCACCGCAGGCGCTGCAGAACACCACGTCGCCCATGGTCATCAGTCGGTGCGACGCGTCGGCCGCCAGCACGGCCGCAGGCGTCCCGCGGCACAGCCCCGTCTCCAGCTGGGCGCGGTCCCTGCAGCGGACCCCGCAGCGGTCGCATGCGAAGGGCAGCGCGCTGTCGCCGCCGACCCACTGCGCACGGTGCCGCAGCGGCAGGCCCACCACGCTGCCCTCGTCGTCGGGCATGAAGAGCTGAGGCCCTCGCTCACGCTGGAGCCGTGCCGCCACGCGGCGGCCGATGCCGTCCAGGCTGGCAGTCCTGCCATCGGCCTGGCTGCTGCTCGCCTCCAGCGCTGCTTGCCGAGCCTCGGCCTCGCGGGGCCGCTTGTCACCTCCTCGAGCCAGCGTGCCCTTCGCCGTGTAGAGCTGCCGTCGTCGCGGTGCCGCCTGCCTGCGCGGCTGCACCAGCGGCGCGTCGTCGCTGTCCTCGTCGTCGTGGCAGGCCTGGCTGCTGCAGCCCTGGCCACTCCGCGGGGTGACCCGCGCTGCCCAGCCGCCCGCCAGGCCTTCGGGGCCACCGCCGCTGGCCTGGCTCGCCGTCCCCTGCTGGGCCCCGCGGGGCGAGGCGGGGTCGGCCTCGCCCCTGCTGACAGCGCTGTCACGCTGGGCCAGGTCCTTGCCGTCGGTCACGCCGTCGGAGCCCCCCGCAATGCCTGCGCCCCCAGCTGCCGCCGCGAGCGCCGCCGCCGACAGCACCGTGGCCCCGCGCTGAGGCGGCTCGCCTCCGCTGCTGTCGCCGTCCTGGTCGTCGTGCTCCATGCTCAGGCTCGTGTCGACTCTCCTGTCGGGCTCGGGCACTGGCTGCCCGCGCGGCTGGGTGCGGCGGCGCTTGGCGGCACGCACCATGCCGTGCTGCTCCTCGTGCCTCGGGGCCCTCGTCAGCACCTGCTTGCCCGTGGTGTCCCCCTGGCTCCCGTTGGCAAGCACGCACACCTGGGCCACCCAGCCAGCCATGCGGCCCACCGCCCCTTGCTGGGAGGCGAAGCGCTCCTCCTCGGCCTGCGAGCTGCAGGGGTGGCAGGCCGCTCCCAGCTTGGCCTCGGTGTCGGCGGCGTGATTGCCAAGGGCGAGCCGCCGCTCCACCGAGCCGTACGCGAGCTGGGTGATGGCCTGGTGGGCCTTGACCTTGCGGAACTGGAGCTGATCCTGCCCGATGTCCATGATTAGACGCCAGATCCTCCTCCACTGCTCGGCGTAGGCCTTGCCAGGCGCGCAGCACACGGCAGGCCCCGCGGCGACGCCGTCGAGCAGGTCCTGGTAGTCGCTGTAGATGGTGAACGGGGGCACGGCGTGCTGCAGCATGACCTCCACTGCGAAGAGCTCGCCCTCTCCCACCTCCTGTAGCCAGCCAGGAGATGGCCCGTGGCAGGATCCCGTGACTCGCCCGAGGTGGTCCACCGATGCGCAGCCGAAGCCCACCCGCATGCCATCAGGGCCTGCGAGGCTACGCCCTGATCCGTCCACGAAGCCGTCGTCCATGAAGAAACCTCCTGGGACCTCCACGCTCCATACCGTGTGCCACGCTCTCGACGGCCTCGGCCCCGCGTTCCAGTTGGGCAGCAGGCACCTGCCCCAGAACGCCTCCTGCATCGCGGTGAGCGTGTCCTCGGGGAAGTGGACCTGGCCGATCTCGCTCTCCCTGCGCTCCCGCGTCCACGCCACGCATGCACCGTGGCGGTGCGGGAGCGTGCCAGGGGCCTCTCCGCAGCGCTGGCACAGCGGGGAGTCAGCAAGACCCGCGGCCTGCAGCTGCTGCTGGGGCCACTGTGCTCCGATGACGGTGGAGCGCAGGCCGCGCGCCTCCTGCTGCAGGCCGTGCTTCTCGAGGTTGCGGATGACCCTGCGCACTGGCTCCAGGTGAATGCCATCCTTGAGGTGCTCCAGCCCTTCATGCATACTTATCTGAGTGTACTGCCACCGCTCGATGGCTCTGTCCAGCAAGCCTTTGATCGCCCGTGGCCCCACGCCTTCTCCCAGCTCCAGCTCCTCGCCGTCGTGAGAGGTCCACCTGCTGGCCGAGATTACTTGCCAGCCTATCCTCCTTGCCGTGGCTAGCATCGCCCCCGCTGGCCCGACCACGGCGGCCCATGGGTGCAACTTGTTCCGCTGAGTCGCCTCTGCTCGGTCAAGTGCTCCCTGCAGTATGTGGGTGGGGATGCGCTTAGTCCAGACCGCCTTCGCCCACTCGACCAGCGGCGCCGCGTTGACGGCGTGGGCTGGGTCCTGCTTGCCCCCCTCCAACATGAAGGACAGCGTGAGCGAGCGCCTTGCCGTGTCGGTGAACATCGCCGCTCCGACCGCCGCCCTGATCATGTGCAGCTGCGAGTCGCTTCTGCCGAGCACGCTGGCACCGTACGTCATTGCAGGCTGCATGCCCATCCTGCCCACCTTGCCCGACTTTGCGCCCTGGCGTCTGAGGCACGTGACTCGTCCGAGGCGGCGCCTCTGCTTGTCGAAGTTTGCGTCCATGACCTTGGTGCGCCTCCTTGCTCCCACCATCGAGTCCACGCCCAGGTTGCGGTGGTGCTGCCTGACCTGAAGCCGCTGCGCCGTGTGCGTGTGCACATTGTCGGCGATCCACTTGCCCGCGTACGCCGTGGAGATCACGATAGTGGACTTCGAGCCGTTGATCTCGAAGCCCAGCTTGCGGAGGAGCTCGATGAGATACTGCAGGCCGTCCGCTGCTACCTTGAGTAGGAACCGCTGTGACCCGATGCAGAGGATGGTGATGTCATCGACGAAGGCGAACAGCTGGATGCACTGATACCTGTCTCCGAACATCCTCAGGCTGCGGTACATGAGGACCTTCAGCCATGATGTCGCGAACCCGCATCCCGCCAAGATGCTGCAGCCCAACTCGACCTCGCCCGAGACCGCGTCGTCGACCTTGCACCGCCGTGGGCCCGCATATATGCTGATGCTGGTGCGCAGTAGCACCAGGTTGGCGCCGCTGGCGCAGCCTTCGTCCCAGAGCGTCTGGTGGCCCACCCTCTCGTAGGCCTTGGTCATGTCGAGCTGGTTGGAGGCCGTGACCATGCCGACCTTGAGGGCCCACTCCTGATAGACGGCCTGGTCCCAGACGGCCCGCTCGGCCGTCCTGCCGCTTGCGTTGTGAAAACATGGCAGGTCATGCTCATCCTCCCACTGCTGCATTTGTGCCCGACGTACCTTTGTCCAAACACGAAGAAATCCTCCTAGTAGAGCGATGGGCCTCACCCCGCCCTCCTTCTTGGCGAGGAAGACGATGATGGTGGTCAGCTGCTTCGGCTGGTTGCCGACCCTCTCCATGTACACCATGATCTGGCCCAAGAAGGTCAGCGCCTCGTCGGACAGCATCGCGAACCACCGTGGGTGGAACGCGTCGGAGCCCAGGGCCGTCCGATGCTTGAACCTCCTGCTCGCTGTCCTGATAGCTCCAGCCGTGGGCGCGTCCAGCACGTGGTGCTTGATCTCGTCCCAGCTGGTGGCTTTCATGGGCTCGTGGACATTCCAGACCTGTTTGAGCCAGTCAGCCGTGAGGAGGAGGAGGAGGAGGAGGAGGACGACGAGGACGAGGAGGAGGAGGAGGAGGAGGACGAGGCCGAGGACGAGGACGAGGACGAGCGCGTGGAGGAGGACGAGGACGTGGAGGAGGAGGAGGAGGAGGAGGAGGAGGAGGAGGAGGAGGAGAGGAGGAGGAGGAGGAGGAGGAAGCATGGGAGGACACGTCCAGTCGAAACTTTCCCCCCCGAGCTCCACCAGCTGCGTGGCCTCCTCCGGCGCCCCCCGCGGGTGCCGCGGGAGGCCGCGGCGCACACGGGTGCGCCGCCGGCGCCGCACCGTGCAGGGCCTGCGCGGGCTGCGCCTGCACGACCGGCCGGCCCTGCACGACGGGCTGCGCCGCAGGATTCCTCGGAGGGAGGAAGAGGTAGCAAGGCCAGGGACCCCCTCCTCCTCCTCCTCCTCCTCCTCCTCCTCCTCCTCCCCTCCTCCTCCTCCTCCTCTCCTCCTCTCCTCCTCCTCCCTCCTCCTCCTCCTCCGCTTCCCCTCCTCCTCCTCCTCCTACTCCTCCTCCTCCTCCTCCTCTTCCTCCTCCTCCTCCTCCTCCTCCTCCTCCTCCTGGGGCCTGAGTGAGGAGGGCCAGCAACATCAGGGATAGGGGTCTTCTTCTGCAGTTGTATCAAAGCAAACCGCACAGGATCTATGATCCCAATTGCGCAGAGACGGGAACCTCAGTGAGGATACGCCTTCACTATGTAATTGAGATGAAGGGTTCTTTTCGAGTCAGCCTGAGCATAAGGCTTCGGACCCTCCTCCAGCCCTCTTCCTGGCCCAGGCCAAGCCACCCCTTTCCCAAAGACAATAACTTTTTATGGCAGCGGCGAAGCAGAACTGCACCAGCGAGCGGCGATCCTGGGCAACCGATACGCAAATTGGCAGGCGGGCAAGAGGGGGAACCAAGACAGACAGGACAACCGCGAAGGACAGGAGATGACGGAGGGCACTCAGACGCGGAAGAATCCCACCAGCCCTTTGGGCGTGAGTGGTTTAGAGAGCTCTCTCTGTCCTCAACCCCCCAACCCCCCTTCTTCCCCTTCGGGGAAGGGTTTACCCCTCCCCCTACCCCCTCCCCTGGGCCTGGAGAGGGCGGGCCGCGGGTCGTTGGAGGGGTCTTTTCCGACTCCTGGGAGGGCCAAAAAACGACGACCCTCACAAGGATTCTGGCCCCGTCGGGGGGAGGGAGAAAAATGCTCTCCTCTTCTCTGAAGCCAAAATCCTTGATTTTACTACGGTTTTGGCCCCATTTTGGCAGTCTGAGGGGCCAGCGCTGCTGCTCCTTGTTCTCCAAATTATTGATTTTACGAAGGTGTTGGGCTCATTTTGTCCTTCTGAGGGGGTAGCGCTCATTTGCGCTTCTCAGGAGGTCGCAAGAAGCCCCCAAGAGGCCCCAAGATGCCCCCAGGAGGCTCCCAAGAGGCCTCCAAGAGGCTCCCCAGCCGCCCCCAAGAGGCCTCCAGAGGCTCCCAAGAGGCACCCCAGAGGCGTCCACGAGGCCCCCAGAGCCCCCAAGAGGCTCCCCAGAGGCCCCCAAGAGTCTCCCAAGAGGCGCCCAAGAGGCCCCAAGAGGCCCAAAGAGGCTCCCCAGAGGCCCCACTAGGAGCCCGAACAACTCACACCAGGACGAGGGGCCCGAACGACTCACACCACGAAGACCCCGAACGACTCACACCACAACGAGGGGCCCGAACGACTCATACCAGGACGAGGCGCCCGACCGACTCACACTACGAGGAGCCCGAACGACTCACACCACGACGCGGGCCTCGAACGACTCACACCACGTGGAGCCCGATCGAGTCACACCAGGAGGAGGGGCAGCGCTCATACAAGCCCCCCAAGAGGGCCCCCAGAGGTCCACCAGATGGCCCCAAGAGGTCCCCAGATGGCCCACAGTCTCAAAAGTATTGATTATACTAAGGTTTTGGGCCCATTTTGTCCTTCTCAGGGGGTAGCGCTCATCTGCGCTTCTGAGGAGGTCGCCAGAAGCCACCAAGAAGCCCCAAGATGCCCCCAGGAGGCTCCCAAGAGGCCTCCAAGAGGCTCCCAAGCCGCCCCCAAGAGGCCTCCAGAGGATCCCCAGAGGCCCCCCAGAGGCTCCCACGAGGCCCCCAGAGCCCCCAGGAGGCTCCCAAGAGGCCCCCAAGAGTCTCCCAAGAGGCGCCCAAGAGGCCCCAAGAGGCCCCCAAGAGGCTCCCAAGAGGCCCCACGAGGAGCCCGAACGACTCACACCAGGACGAGGGGCCCGAACGACTCACACCACGAAGAGCCCGAACGACTCACACCACAACGAGGGGCCCGAACGACTCATACCAGGACGAGGCGCCCGACCGACTCACACCACGAGGAGCCCGAAGGACTCGCACCACGACGCGGGCCTCGAACGACGTACACCACGTGGAGCCCGAACGAGTCACAGCAAGACGAGGGCCAGCGCTTATACAAGCCCCCCAAGAGGCCCCCCAGAGGTCCACCACATGGCCCCAAGAGGCCCCCAGATGGCCCACAGTCTCAAAAGTATTGATTTTACTACGGTGTTGGCCTCATTTTGTCCTTCTCAGGAGGCAGCGCTCATTTGCGCTTCTGAGGAGGTCGCAAGAAGCCCCCAAGAGGCCCCAAGATGCCCCCAGGAGTCTCCCAAGAGGCCTCCAAGAGGCTCCCAAGAGGCCCCCAAGAGGCCTCCAGAGGCTCCCGAGAGGCCCCCCAGAGGCTCCCACAGGCCCCCAGAGCTCCCAAGAGGCTCCCCAGAGGCCCCCAAGAGTCCCCCAAGAGGCGCCCAAGAGGCCCCAAGAGGCCCCCAAGAGGCCCCCAAGAGGCCCCACGAGGAGCCCGAACGACTCACACCAGGACGAGGGGCCCGAACGACTCACACCACGAAGAGCCCGAACGACTCACACCACAACGAGGGGCCCGAACGACTCATACCAGGACGAGGCGCCCGACCGACTCACACCACGAGGAGCCCGAAGGACTCACACCACGACGCGGGCCTCGAACGACGTACACCACGTGGAGCCCGAACGAGTCACAGCAAGACGAGGGGCAGCGCTTATACAAGCCCCCCAAGAGGGCCCCCAGAGGTCCACCACATGGCCTCAAGAGGCCCCCAGATGGCCCACAGTCTCAAAAGTATTGATTTAACGAAGGTTTTGGGCCCATTTTGTCCTTCTCAGGGGGCAGCGCTCGTTTGCGCTTCTGAGGAGGTCGCAAGAAGTCCCCAAGAGGCACCAAGATGCCCCCAGGAGTCTCCCAAGAGGCATCCAAGAGGCTCCCAAGAGGCCCCCAAGAGGCCTCCAGAGGCCCCCGAGAGGCCCCCCAGAGGCTCCCACGAGGCCCCCAGAGCCCCCAGGAGGCTCCCAAGAGGCCCCCAAGAGTCTCCCAAGAGGCGCCCAAGAGGCCCCAAGAGGCCCCCAAGAGGCTCCCAAGAGGCCCCACGAGGAGCCCGAACGACTCACACCAGGACGAGGGGCCCGAACGACTCACACCACGAAGACCCCGAACGACTCACACCACAACGAGGGGCCCGAACGACTCCTACCAGGACGAGGCGCCCGACCGACTCACACCACGAGGACCCCGAACGACTCACACCACGACGCGGGCCTCGAACGACTCACGCCACGTGGAGCCCCAACGAGTCACACCAGGAGGAGGGGCAGCGCTCATACAAGCCTCCCAAGAGGCCCCCCAGAGGTCCACCACATGGCCCCAAGAGGCCCCCAGATGGCCCACAGTCTCAAAAGTACAAGAGGCCCCCAAGAGGCCCCACGAGGAGCCCGAACGACTCACACCAGGACGAGGGGCCCGAACGACTCACACCACGAAGAGCCCGAACGATTCACGACTCACACCACAACGAGGAGCCCGAACGACTCATACCAGGACGAGGCGCCCGACCCATTCACACCACGAGGAGCCCGAACGACTCACACCACGACGCGGGCCTCGAACGACTCACACCACGAGGAGCCCGAACGACTCAACGACTCACACCACGAAGAGCCCGAACGACTCACACCACAAGGAGGAGGGGCACCTCCCTTCTTCCCCTTCGGGGAGGGGTTTACCCCTCCCCCTACCCCCTCCCCCTGGACCTGGAGGGGGCGGGCCGAGTGGGACCAAGGTGGTCGTTTTTCGACTCCTGGGAGGGCCAAACAACGACGACCCTCACGAGGATTCTGGTCTCGAGGGGGGGAGACCGTTTGGCGCCTCCACTCGTCTTCGAAGCCAAAAACATTGATTTTACTACGGTGTTGGCCCCATGTTGGCCTTCTGAGGGGGCCGCGTTCCTCGTCCTTCTTAGCAAAATCATTGATTTTACAAAGGTTTTGGGCTCATTTTGTCCTTCTCAGGGGGGCAGCTCTCATTTGCGCTTCTGAGGAGATCGCCAGAGACCCCAAGATGGCCCCAAGAGGCCCCCAGGAGGCTCCCAAGAGGCCCCCAGGAGGCCCCCAAGAGGCCCCCAAGCGGCCCCAAGAGGCCCCCAAGAGGCCCCCAAGAGGCCCCCAAGAGGCCCCCAAGAGGCCCCCAAGAGGCCCCAAGAGGCTCCAAGAGGCCCCCAAGAGGCCCCACGAGGAGCCCGAACGACTCACACCAGGACGAGGGGCCCGAACGACTCACACCACGAAGAGCCCGAACGACTCACACCACAAGGAGGGGCCCGAACGACTCACACCAGGACGAGGCGCCCGAACGACTCACACCACGAGGAGCCCGAACGACTCACACCACGACGCGGGCCCCGAACGACTCACACCACGAGGAGCCCGAACGAGTCACACCAGGAGGAGGGGCCCGAACGACTCACACCAGGATGAGGGGCCCGAACAACTCACACCACGAGAAGCCCGAACGACTCACACCAGGACGAAGAGCCCGAACGACTCACACCACGAAGAGCCCGAACGACTCACACCAGGAAGAAGGGCCCGAACGACTCACACCAGGACGAGAAACCCCAAACGACTCAAATCACGAGGAGCGCTTTCTCTCCCTCCTCCTCCGCCTCGTCCTTCTCCCGCTCCCCCCACAAGGAGGGTTCACAAGGAGGCGGGAGGAAGGAGGGACAGGGGAGATATACGGAGCCCAGCGGACACACGCCTGAAAAACACAACTGTCGACATGCTTCGCGAGAAGTGCTGCTGTGAGATGGGCTGGTGGGGATACGCGAAGCGTAAAGAATTCCATGCTGGGTGCGCTGGCGCGGCCAGCAGCAGCAGCCCAAAGACAAGAACAGGCTCGAGTATCTCTAGAGGGAGGCGAAGGTGATGCTGGTGGATGGCCATGCTTCTGTGTATTGGGAAGCCTCGATCGAGGAGGGGGAGAAGGAGAGGCGGAAGAAGCTGCGCGCTGG